CAATTAATTATAAATAAATAAATACCCTTTACCAAAATTCACAATAAAATTACCCTTAATATAAAATATTTTGCACAATAATGTATATAAATAAATACCCTTTATCATTGAGCGTTTTGTTAAAATATATAAATTCATAATACTAAATATCACATTTTTATTATTATTTGTTGGGATTCATCCCAAGTCCCACATCTGTAAAATGAAGGAAAATTGGCTAGTTTATAAGGGTGTCAACAATTAAATATAGTATGAGGCCTTTTGGGAAGGAGCCCAAAAACAAAACCGTTTGGTTCGGCTGGGTTTGATGCGGGAAGACCCTCAGTGTTGTGTCTCGCGATGGAGATCCGAACTTGGTGCCTTGTGTCGAAAGTCTTCCTAATATTGTGGTGTTCAGACGGCGTGTCCCGTAGAGTTAACGGCCGTACAAGATGGTGATGGATTATCGCTTGAGGGGAGGAGGTCACGAGACATGTGATCCAAACCGTGCGGGCCTAGCCCAAAGCGGACAATATCATACTATGGTGGAGCAACAAGGGTGCCTTTTGGGAAGGAGCCCAAAAACAAAACCGTGCGGGCCTAGCCCAAAGCGGACAATATCATACTATGGTGGAGCAACAAGTGGACTATCGGGACTAACATTATTAAAAAAAACTGTTTTTTTCATTCCTTAATTATGCGATGTTGGAATTAGAATTATCCCCGACAACCACCTTTGGCAAACAAGTAACTGGTTTTCAACTTTTGTGCTTTATTGGAACACACTATTTATAATTGGCATCAAGATTTGTAAGCAAGTTAACCTCTTTATTCTCCGCCATCACAGTCCATAATCAGACAAACGATAGAAACATAAATCACATGTAGCATACACAATAAGCAGTAATTTGATAGAGACAAAAGACGCAATTAAAACATATGAGCCAAGTCAAAGAAGGTGTGCATGCACAGAAACAAACAACCACTAGGGAAGTATGTTGAACCACAAATGTATCATACTACTAATACTCTAATAGTTAATAATAACAAAATGTTAACAAGTGCCTTTAGTATGCACTTGTTAAGAAATCAAAACTAGAAAATTTATATTTAAAAATGTATCTGTACATTCTTTTGTGTAATTTTATTTTAGTTTTTAATGAAATGTTTTTACATATTGATTCTTTAATGAGTGTACTAAGACTCTAGCTAATAACATGAGCATTTGTTTGACCAGCTTGCAACTTGCATGGAATCATTCAATAGTAAAACCATTGCCTCGCCGCACGCATCATGTTCCAATCTTAGCTATGCTGTATTATCAAGAGTATTATTCGATTTGCTTTAATAAATCTTCACAATTTTATTCTTCAAAATGTGTTTAAATAAATTCAGAAAGAAGAAAGTTAATTCACCAAATTGGGATCATTTTACAAACAATTTATGGAAACGGGGAGTTTTCAAACTATTTACCATAAAAGGACTCAACGTTTTCATACCATACTATTATGTCTGAAAATGAAAATTGGCATTCCGGAAAATGGTTTAAAAATAGCCCAATTTCAGTAAATTTAATTAGTTGTAAATTGACCAGCCCGTGTTTGGTCAATTTGCTGGAAGAAGAAGAAGAAGAAGAATATTTCATTATCATACGCAGAAGGTGAGAAAATGAAATATTATTCGAGACCCTAAATCAATAATAAATTCAGTTGGCATTAATTTTCGAAATGATGAATAGAATAGTCATATCTGCATTAAAGTCCTTGTAATCTTCTATCCCATACGGATAAGACTAAAAGATCACATATTTGATCACTGACGAAAAAAAGTCGTCGTCTAGCTAAGTTTCCATTTGGCTAAAATGTTCAACTCTAGAATTACCAAAAGAAAAGGTTCATCTCCGGTATCCTATGCTAAAATAATATATCATCATTTTAATTTCCCATCAAATAATTGTCCTAAAATAATTTCTTGTGTTCTTCAGGTGAACACAGGCAGGAAAATATTATAAATAAATAAATATAAACGAAACAAGTTTTGTTGTCCCCTTTTTAAGTGTTAGTTTTTATATGCATATAAAAAGAACATGAAAAAAAAAACGAGAAATAGAAATAGTTGTACTCAATGTCAAATAGTGTCAATTATTCTATATTCAAGTAGTAAAACAAGTCAAACATGCACAACACTTTGTAAGGTGAGGTGGGCATGCAATAAAGCAGTCTAAAATTTAAAATGAGCCATAAATATAGTGGAATGTATTTATAATACAAATTCTACGGACATTAATTTGGCGCCCACAGAAAAGACCAATATAAATTATTGACTGAAACTAACTTTTCTAGTCTGTTATTTCACTTATTTGTTGGAATGAATAACTTACCTGATTTTACCATATATATTATATACTATGCATTCGTGTCCATTTTTGGTGGAGAGAAAATTCTCCAATTTGGAGAAACGAAAATTCAAATGCCTTTGTGTGCAAAAAATCGTACTTCATCCTAAATCGATAAATTTTCTTAGTCAAGGAGTTACTCCAGTTATTCATTTTAAGATAGACACACGAAATGAATTCGGGTATCCTCCTAAAAGAAGATCATTCAAAGGGACAATGCATACATACATACTTTTATATATATATATATATATATATATATATATATA